TTGATCATTTTGCTTATAAACTAGTATTTTCAAATCGTGAAATTTTCAAAAGCAATTTAGTATACTGCGCCTGAATTCTCTGAAAGCACGCTCTCAGGAAATGGAGCCAAATGATTAGAAGTGGCATTCTTACGTCATGCATAAATATTCTGCTTAACTAACCATGATTTTCATATCAAACGAGAAACAGGCAATCAGTGCAAATCCTGGTGCAATTTCAGTACATATACCATCCAAATTATGAATTAGACAATCAATGCAGCAGTCAACGCAAATAGTGTAGAACTTAAATAAATCAGACAGACAATTCAATGCAAATTTAATATGAACAGGGTGATCGATGCCAAAATCAAAGAAAAATAATAAATCAGACAGTTGGTCCAAACTCAATGCAAATAGGGTGACCAATGCCAAAACCAAAACACTCATATTAAGAATCGAGCAACCAGTGCAATGATCAGCACAAACAGGCAACTAGTGCAATCTCCAGTGCAAGTCCAACTCAATTCAGTGCAAACAGGTAGTTAGTGCAAATCTCGGTGCAATTCACTACAGATACCCTCAGATTACGAATCAAGCAATCAATGCGGTAGTCAATGCAAACAGTGCAAAACTTTAACAAATCAGACATGCAATTTAGTGGAAATTCAGTATGAACAACACGATTAGCGCCAAAATCAGAGAAAAATTATAAATCAGACAGTCGGTGCAAACTCAGTGTAAACAAGGCGACTGGTGCGAAAATCAGAAGACTCAGATTAAGAATAGGGCAACCAGTGAAACGATCAGTACAAACACGCATCCAGTGCAATTCAGTGCAAGTCCTACTCAATTTAGTGTAAGATAGCTAGTCAGTACAACTTGCAAGTCAAACAACAAATTCACTTGAGACAAGCGATCAACACACTTTCCAATACAGTTCAGTATAAACACGACAATCAATGCCAAAATTAGAAGAATCAGACAAACTTCAAGACAGACAGTCAGTGCAAAATTAAAAACAGGCATATAACTCAAACTCACTCAGAATAGGCAACCATGCAACTATGAACTAAGCATCCAGTGCGAACAGATAAAATAAGCAGAACAAATGCGCAAAAATAAACAGAAAATCTCGCAAACATAGAAAGGATAACAGATCCTACAATAAATGTCTTCGATGCCTAAACCATGGTGGCACCTACCCAAAATATACTGGTACAACTATCAAAGCCAATAAAAAGGCACTAAACTAAGAGCGATCCTACTGCCTATGCTTCTGTAGCCGCCCCTCTCTCTCTCCGCCTGCTTTGCATTGGCAATGCTCTCTTGAGTAAGGGCATTAGAGAGAGCCGTCCGAAGATGCTCCATGACAATGGAAATCCTTTAAGCCCACTTAAGGGTCGGCTGTAGAAAAATAGAAAAGAGTTAGTAGCAAGCACTAAGAGTTAGTAGAAAAAAGAAGTTAGAAAGGAAAAGAGAGGAGACTTACTGGCTCGTCGGCGGAATATTTCGGCCAATCGTCAGGCAGGATCCTCGGCACTTCAAAGTGAGTTGTCCTCCCTGAGCTAAAGTAGGGTAATCTCCTCTGTGACTCCGGCCGTAGACGAGGGAGCCGGCTGAACCAAGAGGCCCCAGAAGTGGGGGCGTGACCAAAAGATGAAGTCCTGGCTGCTACAGAAGTCACCGTCAAAGCCAGGGAATGGCTTAGTAGGACCGAATCGTGCTCTAATGCCTTCCGCTACATTAAACATTATCTCCTAGTCTATATTGAAGTCAAACTCCTCCTCCAACTCAGCCTTGCTACTCTGTCCCCGGGAGGTCGTCCTGGTCTCATTACCTGAAGACCTATCTAAGGGAGGCTCCACCCTAGTAGCCAAGGTAGAGGCGACCCGATCAGCATAAGTGTCTCCCGAGAGGAGAAAGGGCTCAATAAGATCTCCCCTTCCCTTCGCTACCTGGCCCGTGATGCTAATGTCGCCCAGCATATCCACTGGCGGGTTGTCAGGGGTTTGGTACAAGCCCATCACCTAGTGATAGACCCGCTCACCCAGGTAATAGCGATGGATCACTCCACACCTCAAGAGGACTCGACAATGCGTCATCTCCCAAGCCTAATGCAAGTTTTTCTCTAGGGGAGTATCTAGAAACTGTTGAAACATACGAATCCTCACCTGCAAAAACAAAAATCTCCAAGCATCAGAATCAGACTTTGACATGAAAGACGATCTGCAAGTTGTTTGGAAATCACCTGAGCTATAGATAGCTCATTGAACCTCCTCCTCAGGACCAACTGGTTCTACCCAACATGTTGCTCTATCAAAAGTGGCCTAAAATGGCCCATCGCTAGGATCTCCCACGACACGACCTATGTCAGGATAGGAGCGATGAACAGAAAGAGTAGAAAAGCCTAAGCCTGCAAAACAGATGGTCAGGAAAGTGAAGAAAGGAAAATCAGCTCAAAGAAGAAAATAGGGGACAGTTCAAAAAATGTACGTCCTAAATGGCTACAGTGCCTCCTAATCAGGTCCGGATACGGCAGTTGTACTGGCTCATATCGTGATACATGGACGCCATGAAGGCACCACCCTAATCATACTCTCCAAGTAAGCCTAGGTTTACTAAAGACTGCACAAAGGCGAGATCCATGTGATCCCCCAGTCATGAGCAATGGTGCACCCTAGGATCAGAAGAAGGCATGCACGGGTCAATCGATCGGTAGTCGCTATATCTCTGTCTGCCTGGCTCGAGTTCCTCAACTGCTCGCAAAGCACAAGGACAAAGTGGTAATTTTCCCAAAATCCAGGGACCAAAATGGGACTTCAACCGAGGCTGCCTACAAGGCCTAAGGAGGTTATGGCTTCAATCGGGGCCGAAATATGACCTAAGGTCTAAGTTGAGTAGATTTTGGGGCTGAAACATAATTTGCCCAAGGTTCAAGGGCCAAGTTGCAAATATTCCTGGCCAGTCAACTTAGGGCCCTAGGGTTTAAAATTTATTCTCCTATGGGTCATGCATACCAATTCAAATACTAGTATGAACATAATTGGGGACTAAATCGTAAAAATTCAAAAGTTTAAGGACTAGTAAAAAAAATATCAAGCCTTGGCCGAGGACTGAGATATGGGTGCTCCGGTCCTTCAGTATGAAGTCTATGTCACCAGAGGTCGTGATAAGCGCGCGTCTTGATTGTTGAGCCACTTTCGCAGAATGACTATATCAAGAGAATCAGAGAGAAAGCAAGAGAGGAAGTGAGCAAGTGTGAGCTCCTAAAGCTCACCCCTCCCCTATTTATAGGAAAAGGGAAGGACGAGCCTCCCCCTTGACCCGAAAAATTAGACCTCTCAAAACTCACCTGGATTCAGATTGATGCATAGTTATAGTCAAACGTCCATGGCGAAACCCAAACACATCGGACCGAAAAACGTCCATGACAGATGATTACCAAAAGGGCCCGAAAAACTAGACAGACCGGACCAGCTCCAGAAAAATATTTTCGAGATCAGATGAAATTTGCACAGGATATCCCAGATATCACCATGACTTGTCAAGTATGGTTCGCAGACCAAAATTCTTTCCTAAAGTGCTGAAATCGGAGTTCGAAAGATCCGACCTTGATTGGCTCTGATCTCTCGAAGGCGGCAAGGTGTTGACCTTAATTTCAACACTAAGCTCAAGGAAATTCTGCTACGGTTCCAATGGCACAAAAATTAGCTTGATCAGACGTCGTTTGGGCCTCGAACGAACCTTCAGAATCCTAAAAACCCTAAAATCAAAGGGCAGGGGCAAGATAGTAATTTGCCCCAATCGGCGCCAAACAGCTGCTGGCCGGTGCCGATCACCCCTAAATTGAATTGGCACACACCGAAGGCCCTAATCGGTACCGAATAAGAGCATTTTCGGTATCGAAAAAGGGCAATTCAGTACCGATTTATCCTTGACTAAGCAGCCTTTTGGCCTATAAAAGGCACACCCCCCTCTCATTTCAAGCACCTTTTGTTGCTTGATCGAGCGCTTCTCAAGCTTCAACGACTCTCATTCTCCCTATTTACGATTCTAAGGCAATATAGTCCAACCTTGCTCTTTTTCCTTAGTTGAGTTTAAGGCCCGACTTGGTACTCAAAAGTCGATCCTTTCAACTTTCAATCTTCTCAAGCTTCAACGACTCTCATTCTCCCCTCATTTACGATTCTAAGGCCAATATAGTCCAACCTTGCTTCTTTTTCCCTTAGTTGAGTTTTAAGGCCCGAACTGGCTACTCAAAAAGTCGATCCTTTCCAACTTTCAATCCACACTTTGGTCTTCTTAGACCAAAAGCTTTAGTTAATTAATTTATTATTAATTAATTCCAAAAATTAAGTTAATAATTTGTCTAATTCAACACTAGTATAAAACTATAATCGGGTCCTCGTTGCCCTTACTAAGCTTTACTTCTTTAGCACCTTTTGTCGTTACCACCGTGGAGCTCGATCCGGCCGTGGAGCTCCGATCGGCCGCTTGCTCTTTTTCCTTAGTTGAGTTTAAGGCCCGACTTGGTACTCAAAAGTCGATCCTTTCAACTTTCAATCACACTTTGGTCTTCTTTAGACCAAAGCTATTAGTTAATTAATTTATTATTAATTAATTCAAAAATTAATTAATAATTTGTTAATTAACACTAGTATAAAACTATAATTCGGGTCCTCGTGCCCTACCTAAGCTTTACTTCTTTAGACCTTGGTCGTTACCACCGTGGAGCTCCGATCCGGCCGTGGAGCTCCGATCCGGCCGCGTCATAAGCGCTAGGGGATAACCACTAAACTCAAACTTTGTCAGTTAAGCTCGGTCTGTCCGGCATCTTAAAAACTGTCATGCCCAGTCCTTCTGGCACTTTGCATGCTTTAAATCCGGTCTGTCCGTCCCACTAAGCCTAGTTCATCCGGCAAAACTGATAAAATCAATTTTCAATTAAGCCCGATTCGTCCGGCATCTTATAAGCCCACTCCTCGAGTGACAACTTCAAAACCCTACCATCCTAATGCTTTGACAATAAATTGTTATGCATTATTAGTCTGTTCATGCATTGATAAATTGTTATGCATTACTAGTATGTTCAATTTCATAAAAAAATATGATTCATGGAGCATTGGCCTTGGCCTTTGCCAATAGGGATCTTATGACCTTCTCTGATTCACCAACCCATTTGCTAAAAAGCTCTGGACCCTTCACTGCAAAGAAATTCAATCCACCTTCAGAAGCTTCTACAAGTGCCATGAGAGTTTTGCTACAACGAGGAGGACCAAATAATAAAAACCCTATTGGGGAATGGGTGCCAATGTGCTGGAATGCATCCTGGTGCTTTTGAGGCCCTTCCACTGCTTCCATTAGTTGAGCTTTTACATCCCTCTGGCCACCTACATCTTCCCAATTAACTTTCGGAACCTCATTTATTACCTACGAGTAGAAGAAATAAGTAAATAATGATTGAATTGATTAGTTACTCTTCCAATTGTTGTATTATTTCCTTGTTCCTGTTGATAGAAATTCCTTCTAGAATGACAATTAAAATGGTTCTAACACCAATTATGAGCAAGACACTGAAGGCTGTGGAGAACAAAAAGAAAGAAACTTCCACTCAAATTTCTAGAACTGTTACAAACAAGTTGGCAACATGGACTAATTTTCCAACGGCCTCTCTATTATCTAGTGCTTCCAATCATTCAATTTTTCATGCTCACACAACAAGTTAGTAGGGTTGTATATACCAATGGAACTGGCTCCATAATATAGTTTCTTTAAACAATATGGAAATATTAGTAATACCTCTCGCATGGCACTAGGCCTCACTTTCATCCTGGCCTTCTAAAAATCTTCAAAAGCAACTTTTAAGATATTTTCTTCCTCCGCCACAAAAGCCCCGTGAGAATTAGTGTCATTCTCAATGCTTTCTGAAATTCCAGAAACAGTCACATTGGAGCAACAAGATGCTAAAATCTCCAAAGATACAGGCATAGAAATGAGGCCTGAAGTTGCAGAAACTGCATAGCTTTCTTGCATCTCACCAGTGCAACCGGATCTTTTTATCACAGTGCAATCCACAAAGCCATGTGTATCAACAGCGAGGTTTTGAACCTGCATATCTGAAAGAGAATGCTCCATTTGATCGAGAAGAGTATTCAGTATATTGAGTCGTTGTCTTGGAGATGGAACAGCTGTATGAGAAAAAAAAATGAAACAGATATCAATGGCATGGCTGAGACAAACTATGTTCAATAAGAAAGCACGTGAAACGATTCATAGATCTCCACACTAATACATTCATATAAAACAACCACAATATACATTTAGACCATCGAATTGTGTAATTATCTATTAGACAGGTTGGGTCTTGCAGATTTTCTGTTTTCCATATAACTAAATGGAGGAATTGTTGGTGGTCGGAATCAAGTATTCTTATGAACATAGTCAGTACTATTACAAACAAACTTCAGATGCAAAGCCTTGCAGTATAAATGTTTATAGAAACCTAAAAGGAAAAATATCGCCTCAAGAGTAGCATTGGTAAAAAGACTACAAATCACAAGAGGTGAAAGGTGGGAGGGGAACCAGTTGGAATCACCTATCTCAATTTCTCTATCAAGTCTTCCAGGTTGTCTCAATGCAGGTTCAATGCTGTCAGGTCTGTTTGTAGCAGCGATAATAAGTAGTCCATCACTCCTATTCCCATCCATCAAATTCAATAATGTGGCCACCATTCTTTGAGATAGTTCTTCACCTCCATCCTTTCGTGCAGGAGCAATTGCATCCAATTCATCAATGAAAACCTGCACAAGGATGACAATTAGTTAAACATCATGTTTAAAACAGAGTAAATGGTGAATTTTTGAAAGGTGCAACCTTCCTAAATTAGGCGATCCTCATTAACAAGAAGCTTGTAAGATTATAGTTTCCAATAGCACAGTTCAAATTTAAACATGTACAAGATAGTTTTAGCTGCAATTTTAACATCAAGCAGTACAAGGAAAGAATATGTAAAATCTAACATTATCCAGAACTCATTCTTGTTAAACCACTTAATCAAAGTAGGTTTGTGTTTCTGCGAATGAATTTCCATTGTCAAGCTGAATATTGACAATGAAATATCTTCTTTAAAATATTTTTGAAGTTTCAAAAGAATATTTGTATATTTCAAATTTAGATATGGTATATATTTATATATTTTTAAATTATCTGTTATATATGCCACTTCCACAGAAGAGTAGAAGGAAGACATGACTCTCACTGCTCGTTAACCAGATATCCTATATGGTAGTGGAGTATTATTATGCAAAAACAAAAAGAGATCCTTATTAGGTCGTGAACACCAGGGAGAGAAGTGTATATTGGGGGAGGAAGAGAAACAATAATTATGATCGTAATAGAAATCTGTTAGACAATGATACCTGAAGCCAGCAATTACTAATTACTAATTAAACAAGAAACAAGAAAGCCAGCAATTACTAATTACAGATCCACTTAATGATAAGTCATCCACACTAATTACAGCCATGAATTCGTGGAACCATAAAGTCTGGAGAATCAGTCATGCTGAATTTGATAAATAAAACTTTAATCGTTGTATCTTGATATGGTGCTATCTCCTATTATAGTATCAGTAATACACTCATCATTTTCTTTGTTCTGATTCCTGGTCTATTTGGAATCAATTTTTCTTTGAAAAAATCTGAGAAGAGCATACCCAGGTGAAAATCTGTAGTTCTACACTCATAATGAAATAGTATACCCAGGTGGAGAAGCTGAGGTTCTTTAAGGGAGAGTTTTTGATTGAATACAATGGGATAAAATTGTATATTTAAATTCTCAATGGATTGAACATAATTGAAGAGCTACCTCTGTTAAATTTCTATTAATTCTTGTTTCTTTCAGAGGACTATTTTAGCTCCTCACTGCATTCATCCTATTCTTTTTGATATTAAGTTCTCCTTTCAGAAAGGGGGAGTAAAAAAAACCTTTATACACCTCAGCTAAATTTTCCAATTCCAATCTAAATATGACCAACCAAACTGGAACCCGGCCAAATGGCCCCCTTAAGACTTACTAGTGCCCATTGACCGCGGGGCTAAACAAAAATTTGAAAAATCCACAAAAATGTGAGGAAATTTTCTTTCTTTTTAAAATTTAAAAGAATGCATTCCATTATCTCCATTCGCATAATTTATCTTTTTTTGAGAAAGGGATAATTTATCTTTCTGAATGGTTTGACATTATATTTACGTTGTCCCTCCAATCCAAATTCACCTTTATTTCAAATTACTACCAATTCAAGTAGAACCTTAAATGCACTTGCAGACATAGCAATAGTAAGTGCATATAAAACTGAGGCATAAGCCTAGGTTCGAAACCCACCCCCGATAATTTCTTTTAAAAAAATTGAATCCTTGCATGTCTTTCGCTAACTGAATACATAATGAAACTGGAAAAGCAGGTTGGTTGAAGATACTCCAACAGAATTTCATTCTACTATGAAAATTTAGCAGATCTGAATAAAAATGTAGTAATCTAAAACCATTATCATTTTAAAGAAAGCAGCACTCAATTCTAGCCATCTCTTTCCACAAATCATGAAATTAATACTATAAATTAGAATCATTAAAGGAAAAACTAAAATCGCAAAAGTAAAAATGTCTGTAAATTGGTTGCATCTCTGATTAATCTATTTCCCCCTATTCTTCTATTCTCACTGAAACCTTAAATATGGATCTATAATGTCTTGCAGGACTCCAATAGACTGGGATTTGAGCTTTGGGTTTCCATAGAAAAGATTTGAGTAGGAAAAACTTGAATTGGCTGAGGATTGGGGATGGCAGGCATTTAATAGAACTAGAACTTTGGTTGTTGGAGGAGACCATAGACACCACAGAAAAGCTTTGGTTGGTCCCTATCTCATACAAAAAAACTGCAGTTACATTTATGTCCACGAAGTATTTATGGTATTACCAGTAGATAGGACAACAGAATGCTGGAGTCACCCACCAAATGTTGCTCAAAGTAGATGTCAAATGTTGCAGACTTTGAGCCTGGAATCATGAAATGATATAGGGACTGAACGGAGGATCTTATCAGGTGCCTGCCAGACAACAAACACGAAAAAACAGCAAAACAAAAGAATAAATATGAAAGGACAATCTATACAAGTAAAAATGGAAGTACGACAGACAAAAAAAAAAAAAAAGAAAAGAAAAGAAAAAAAGAGAAAAAGATCAATCTGTTGATTTCATAGAGGAGATGTAAGGTGCCCAGCGGTGAAAAATTTAATGATAAGAGTTAAAAAGCATAAACAACCTTCCTAAAATGGAGATTACAAACTTCGTAACGTTGATGGATCTCTTTGGCCAGTGCCATTGAAAGGAGGGTGAGATGAAAAGGATGGTAATTTTACAAAATGCACTAAAAACCAAGTAGTTTGTTCCTTTTCAGTTTACAAACTGAAAGAATAGACTGCTGTTTAGACAAACGGAGAGATGCATTTGAGAAGTAAAAAAGAGTATTTATCAAATCCATCACGTCAATGATTAGAGTGAACCAGCCTTTGAAATTTAGTTGGTACTTGAGAAGATTCAATCTCTGATGGCTGGACCGGTTAATTTCTGTCTTTAAATGTTGCATTGTTACTTCAGAAGCATCAATGAACTCCTACAAATGTAGAAAACATCAAATCAAGCTATTGAACAAGAAAAATGAACAACCTTACAAGGACACGGAAGGAACTCTTGGAAAACCTCAATGGCTACTACAGCTGCTTCCCAGCAGATCAGTGATAATCAGCTCCAGTACAGCCCTCAGTAAGATGAGCTAGCCTGTCATATTGACATGTACATGGAATTTTACACAAATGGATCTTAAATATTTCTTCCCTATCAGTCTCATTTAGAGGCCCCACATATAGCAGCCTATCAAAGTGTCCTGTTTAGATCTTCTATTAACTAGAGAGCGTCCAAATTCCAAATAAAAACATTACAAGATAGTATAAGACTGTTTTGAAATATGCATGCATCTAGTGTGTGTGAGATAGAGTGAGAGAGAAAAACTAGTCTCAAAGTGTAGGATCAATCTTGTCGGAGAATTTGTAGAAGCAATAACAGTAACATTAACTCTTTGATGTAAACCTAAATCCAACAGAACATTTACTCAGGTGAAAAAATAAACTAGGGACTTGATGTATCCAAAAACATAAGGGTATCAAAGATTTCAAATATTGTTTCCCCAAGTTTTTGTGAGGGTCACTGATAATGAATCAAAACAAGATCCCTTCAAAAGAAACTCCTAACAGGGAACCTAATGCAATAATCATATCACTAGCCTCCAAATTCGACAAGAAGTTGAGTCATAACCCTATCAGAAACTGAAACCCCATCATTTTCCTTCCCACGAATAACAGCAAGGCCATCAATTTCATTAAAATATAGTATTGATGGAGCATTGGCCCTGGCCTTTGCAAATAGGGATCTTACAGCTCTCTGATTCACCAACCCATTCGCTAAAAATTTCTGGACCATTCACTGCAAAGAAATTCAGTCCAGCTTCAGAAGCTACTGCACGTGCCATCAGAGTTTTGCTACAACCAGGAGGACCACAATAAAATCCCATCCGATGATGGGTGCCAATGCGCTGGAATGCATCCTGGTGCTTTTGAGGCCATTCCACTGCTTCCATTAGTTGGGCTTTTACCTCCCTCTATCCACCTGCATCTTCCCAATGAACTTTGGGAACCTCCAGTATTACCTACGAGTACAACAATTAAGGAAATAATGACTGGATTGATTAGCAACCCTACCAACTGTTGTATTATTTACCAGCACCAAGAGCGTTGCAAATTGCAGGACCCTGGTCATTACCAAGCAAGTCAATGATCAGGTGCAGGGCCTTGACATGAGAAGTTCTTTCAGGAAACCAAGTCTATTTGATGCTGCTCATCTTTCACAAACATGAAGAAACCATCATATGCATTCAATAAAGGATGAGTTAATTGCATCTTGAAAACACAAGATCTGGTCCACTTAAATTTCAAAGCATGAGATATCGCAACTTTCAATGCAGTTATTGGAAGAAGAGTAAGATCGACTTATGCAGCCGGTGATCAAAGGTTGACTGCTTTATGCAGTGATTTTACTTTTCTCAATTTTCAAATTACATTAACCGCAAGAACATAATTCAGCAAGGATAACTAATTTGATCATTTTTGTTAAGGATTAGTTGTAAATAGAGTTTTATTAGGAGTTAGATTCCTAATTAGTTTATGATTTGTATTCCTAAATAGCTAGGTAGCACCGGACGCGACTCCACTAAGGATTAGTTGTAAATAGAGTTCTATTAGGAGTTAAATTCCTAATTAGTTTATTATTTGAATTCCTAAATAGCTAGGTAGCTTAGGAATTCCTTATATATAGACCTATGTAATCGATTGATGAGATATAAGAAATACAATTACAATATAATCTCTCAACATGGTGTCAGAGCCTTCCATTCACAAAAAAAAAAAAAAAGAAAGAAATTTCCGAAACTTCCCTTATGAGAAGCCACTGCCTTTTTAGGGTTAGTATTTTGCCTCACCGCCCACCCTAGGATATTCTCCAGCCACCGATCAGTGACTTCCCAGAATCCGGTCGCTGGATTCCAAGCGAATAGCCACCACTCGCCACCTCTTTCTTTGTTTTATCATTAATGAAAGAAAAAGAGAGTTTCAAAAGTAATGGCCACCACTCGCCACCTCTTTCTTCCTGCTCTGGTTCACGCGCTAGCGCATGTCCAATGGTCTTTTTCACTCCAGTTTCTCTCTCCGACGTTGGCTTGAAGAGAGACGCTTATTCAAATAGTTTGTTTGATCGATTCCTGTTGCACGCGCTGTTGACAGTCTCTCTGCTACTATGTGAGTTGCTTTAATTCTTGGCTGAAGGCAAACCCTATCTTTCCTTTGTTATGTGACAATTATTATTTAGGTATTATTTTCGGTGAATTTTTCTGTGATATTCTGTATTGCACTTAGCGGATTTGTACTACACCATTGCTTAGCACCGTTATGGTATTGCTGCTCTATTGAACTCCTTCTCCTTTGTCAAGCAGATGCCACGCAGTGATATTGCAATTGTAATTTAGGCCCTTTCTGGTGTGCTCGCTTGTCAGATTTTCCTTTGCTGCGTTCTGAATACTCTGTCGCTACAGTCTTCCTTCCTCTTGAGCATCTGATTTATGCGAACATTGAACACGCCCTGTGAGTTGTTTTTCTGGTTCAGTGAGATTTTATTCGACACCTACCTAGTGTGTGTGTCTTGAATTCTGGTACACTCATTTGTTGGGAACTTCTTTAGCTCGCTATATGGAAGTGGTACAGTTGCCTTCGAGCTTATGGAAAGTGGTGCTTCTGCTGATAAGTAGTAAGTTTGTAACAAGTTGATCGTTATGATTAAACATCTTATGTGCTCCCACTATCGAAGGGGGAAGTGTTATGGAGTTATGTTAGTAAAGTACGATCTTTTATTACGAAGTTAATTCCTAATCTAGTTTTACATGACTTTGTATCCTAATATCTAGGTAGCATAGGAATTTCCTTAAGTAATATATGACATGAATTTAATACGACTAATTAGTTTATGATTTGTATTCCTAAATATCTAGGTAGCATAGGAATTCCTTATATATAGACCTATGTAATCGATTGATGAGATACAAGAAATACAATTACAATATAATCTCTCAACAATTTTAATCAAGCTCAGAAGACAAATTGTAATCTATCTCTCTTTCATGAATTGTTCCATCATCGAGGGATTCATCACCGTAAACAATCTTTGATGAGTCCTCTAGACTAGCCGTTCTGCTTTTCTTGTATAAGCCCCTACTTTTATCCAGCATCCCTCTTTCCATCATTCTTACATATTTTTCCCTTATATCAACTAGAGGATGTTTCTCCAAGAGTTGTTGACCATCATAGGCTTCTCTGAGAACAACAGTCTGTGTGTTACACTTATTAGAGAGATAAAAAATTCCGGGATGGCGTTCAAACACTTTAGTAAACTTCTGAGGAAGGGACAATGGTTTGCGGAGATTGCTCACATTCTTACGCTCTGTTTTCTTTTGAATAGTAAGGTGGAGAAGCTCATGAAAGACTCCAACAATCCTCTTCTCAGATACATCAGTGCGTGGATCTAAATGGGAAGCATCAGAGTATGGTGAAGTATAAGGGAGCCTTTGCCACTCCTGGAGCCACTCCATGCACTTCCTCCTCAAGCCAAAACCTCTTGTAAATCCAATTGGAAAGGCCAAGCAGCCACTTTTCACATCTTCTTCTTTCTGCTGGAATGCAGCATTCTTCTGTAACTGGGAGATGGCAAGGCGATCATCCCAGATTTGGAGTTGTAAGCCAATACGATCATCAGGTAAACAGATTGAAGAAAATAAATCACGGTGATGTGGAATCAAGGAATCATAATAATCATATGGCAATCCCATATCCCATTTTAGCTGGTCAATTGTTTGCAATGGAAGATTCCTGTCCCTTGTAAGCATGAGCAGTTTGCAAAGTCTTCCAATGGTATCCATTTGGTTCTGCTCAAGGACGCAGAGTTCTTCTTGGTGAATATTCAGCACTTCAGGAGTCAATTGGAAGCAGGGAACACGAGTGCCTCCACTATCAAGGATGTGAGACTCAAGGAAAATAGTAGGATATTTCCTAATAAATGTAGAGAGCTTAACATTCTGGGGTAGACCAAGCTGTCCGCGATGTGGGGTGAGGCGGTAAATGGGAAGGGAGCAATGAGGTGCCGAGTAGATGATGGAAACAAGGATGCATGTCGCCCTAAGATCATCCTGACCAGCCACAACAGCATCCAACGCTCTATCTTTCACCCATTTCAATTTAACATTCACCAGGCTGAACTTTTGTTGGTAATTGAATCCTCTCCGACATCCACCGAGAAAACTGGAGACTCTTGCTCTGCTTAGCAGCAAGATGGAAACCATATCCCTTTGTGATGATGATAAGGATGAAGGGATTACATGCTCTAGTATAATTATTTAGTGTTTATACTCTTGCAACCTCAAAAATGCAGCAAAAGAAATCCTACCGCAGGAGAGGCCCTAAAAATCAGCAACAGCCACAGAAGAAATTGCTAAATTTTATTAGTTGTTAATTTACCCATGAACACTCCATAATTTGCATTGGATTAGAGACAAATCCTCCTATTGATTAACAGCCTAGGAAGATCATTTTCGTTTCTTCCAAGATAATTCAATTTTCTGCGTGACAAAAAATGAACAATTTAACCTCTGATTTTGAGGTTATAATTGCAAATATTGACATTTAGCCTTTCACATCCACAAAATAAAATAAAAAATTAAAAAAGAAAAAAAAAAAAAGCATCAAGATTCCACATTTGAAAACAAAGAAATCTGAAAACATAACACAGATGCAATGGCAAGACCAGTTCTAACTTGAAATTGTTATGAGAGAGAGACAGAGGAGCTTACAAGCGAAAGGCGAACCACAACGAGATTTTCCTTTCGTTAGGCTGCACACGGGTAAACCACCATAATTTCAACAATTGCACTCCAACGGCCAAAATTACGTAATGAACCCCACACCTGCAGCTTCAGTTAGCTAACACAAGTAAATGGTTTGCACAAAACGGTGCGTTTACATCTCTTTCTCTTTCGTGGGTTCTGGTTTAGGACACGTCTCTTGTGTCGGAGACGAGAGAGAGGTGTGTCTCTGTTCGTTACTCCACTGGACTCTCTCTCTCTCAAAGTTCAGGACTCAGCCGTTGTTTACTCGGACTAGCCTTAACCTACACCCACTTTTGTATAGAGTTAACACGCCGCCAAGCAATATTTTCCTCCGTTTTCTTAATCTTTTTCTGGCTTCTCTGCTTTGAATGTTAGTCCCAACTCCCTAATTTCTTCCTTTCTTTCTTTTCAACTTTCTCTCTTTCTTTTTCTTACTTCTGTGCGTGTGTGTGTCGGATTTTGTGAAATGGGATCCGTTTGTGTGTAAATCCTAATTTTTCTCTTCTAATCAAGGTGGGTTTCACTGGATTTTGGAGCTTATTTGTTGTGATATTGCCTTTTCTTAACAGAGTTTGCTCCTTCTCTTCACTTGGTGTGGTTACTTCAATTATTTTGTTATCGTATTTTGGGTTATTTTGCGTTTTGTTAATTGGTTTGTTTGTTAAAACCCTTTCATTCCCTCACGTCGCAAAATGATCTTGAACAGATGAATTTATTTTTTGGTGTTGCAGTAAAAAAAGTGAAGTTGGCCAAACAAAAAAAAAAAAAAAAAACGAAGCATTTCAACGTAAAGAAAGAGTGTAAGTTGGCCAATACAAAAAAAAAAAAAAAAAACGAGTGCGTTTGGGGTACATACAATTTCCTTGGCTTAAGTTTTAAACGTCAAAGGTAGATGCGGGCCCCAATGAAAGTATTAGGCCGAACGACGCGGGAGGGTGATTTTTTCGAATTTCTGGAATCTGGGTCGGGTCTAAAGCCGGGGAAAATGTAGTAGAGTATGATTGCTGGAACTATACCCGCTACAAAACCTGGTATTAGTTCCGTTCACAAGCCTGCCCTTTTTTCGTTTTGAAGTAACGTTCACTCTCAAGTGTTTTTAAAAAAAAAAAAAAAAAAAAAAAACGATGCGTTTGGGGTACAAACAATTTCCTTGGCTTAGTTAACTCAAGCTACAGATGCGGGCCCCATAAATATTAGGCCGAACGACGCGGAGAGGTATTTTTTCCATTCTGGAATCGGGTCGGGTCTAAACCGGGAAACTGTAAGTAGAGATTTGCTGAACTAAACCCCTAAACCCTGGTATAGTTCTCTTCAAGCCTGCCTACTTTTCGTTCTTAGGTAACTTCTCTCTCAATTGTTTTTCTCTATCGTTTCTGTTTTTATGTGAATTTTGTTTGGTTTCTTGGAAAATTAATATAAATTAAGGCTATTTTTCGAAATTTTACTTTTTTATTTTTTCATAAACAGCGTTTCTTATCTTCCATGTCTATGTTCCTTTTTCTTTTTCTTTTTCTCTTGAATATTTAGCATTTTAGTTAAGAGTAATCCAAGACTCTAAGTTGCAGTACTCAAACTTGTTACCTTAAAATGTTAAACAGTTACTATGTATGATATGCTGGCTGGGAATTTAACATCTTATGAGATCATTTTTTTCTGAAATTAGGGCATAGTTAGAAATGCATATATCAGAAGTTCAAAATATATTCACTGGTAGGCAGATGTTATGATTTTATTTGCAAGAGAAGATATAGGACTTGTCTTGAATCCCACATTGAAAGTACAGTATGAGGTTTATATGAACTTGCGCTTCCCAACATCTACAGCAAGCTTTTGAGTTATGACGCTCCTGAGTTCATAACGACATTGTTTCTTGAGGTGTCCTTTGACTTAAGATAGAAACTCAGTATCATTGACCTGTAGAGCAGGTGCCTGTGCATTTATAGGGATTGCGGGAGAGATGCCTTCAAAGACGAAGAAGCATTCAAAGACTGCCTCAAGGCTGTCAATTTCTGACCAGTCTCCTTCTCCTCAAACACCATCATTGATATCTTCTCAAGATATAGAAATCAGTGAACAAGATCTCATCCTATCTTTGGATGAAGCATCAAGAAGATTTCCTTCTGTGATTGGTAAATCTGCTTTCATTGGTCAAGTCACTGATGTTGAGATGGAATCTAGAAGTTCTAAAATTTGGCTTTCAGAGTCTTCCATGGTTGCATCTTCGCTTTCCCCTGGTTCCATTGTATCGGTAATTAGCCATCTTCTCATATATTATACAATTGATTATTTCTCTGGATATTTGTTTGCTTAACAGTTTTTAGTTTTTGTGCTCTATACTATTTGTGAAGGGATATTCGAAAGATTAATTCAATTTTCTGTCCAAAAGAGAAGTTTGATCCACAACATCTTTCTCACAAAAAAGTGAAGAACAGTTTTAAGATAGATTGATCAATTTAATTATTTAGCTCTGAATATTGGTAGGAGAATTACTTAATGTTGCAGAGTTACCATCATTATAGCAGTTGATAGAGATTCTTAACATAGGTCAGTTGTTATGATCATTCCTTTCTTAATTACTTTTGGCTGAATTTATTGTTCTGATCATTTTACAGGTTTCTCTTGCTGCTTCAAAGAGAATATTGTCAAATAGCTTTCCTCTTTGCTCAATATCGGAGGAATGTACTAGGCAGTTTGATGCTGAGGCTTTGGATGATGAAAAATCTAATGAATTAGGGAACTACTTTGCTTTTGCTATGGTCTTTCCCTCTTGCAAGGTTTGACCCTCTTTTTCATTCTTCCTTTTTGTTTTTAATTGGACAAAGAAAGTAATGATTAAAATTTATCTAGTTATGCTGTGAATTTGGATAGAGTTAGTATTAGTTTATAAAGACCCTCTTACAAGACAACATCAATATTAATATTTCAATTGGATGACCTTTCTCTGTGGATTGATTTTCTTTTGACCATGCAATTATCGGTGTTCTATATCTGTTAAATCATATGACATCTTATTTGAGTTTGTGTCTTTTTCTTTTTTTTTCCTTTGACTGCAATGAAAAGAAGAATAACATAGTAGTATTATAGGGTACCAAGGTGTGAATTTACATACAGCCGGGAAAAGATTTATCTAATTGAACGTGAGTAAGTCTAAGATAGAGAGAACCACATGAGCAGATACCCTGTAGTGTAAAGATCAAATAAAAATGAGGATCCCACTTCTGTTATAAAGGTACTGTTACTAACCTTTATAAGCAGTAGTTGATTGTTTGTGCCTGCTGGAACTTGTGTTTGTATCTGTGTGTTTTAATTTGTAATTCCTGTCCTATTAAAACTACAAATAGAAAAAATTCAAGTTCTTTTCTATTGAAAAAATATTATTTCTTTTATAATATACTTGAAGTGTCAAAATAATAATTTCCACTTGATTTTATGGATGCCATGGAATAGTTCATTCTCTCGAACAAAGTTCTCCATTAGAACTAGAGCCCAAGACAAGCCATACATTCAACAAGTGCTTCCCACTAAACCAAAATTCAGCGGATTAAGCAACCAATCTTTAAAGCTAAGAGACATTTCTTCCTCCCAAAAGCCTTTCTATGCATTATCCTTGACAAAGTCCTAAAATCCATTGGAGGAATTACATCTAACTGGTTTCCATTTTATGTAAGAATATATAGCTAGCATGTAATCCTTGAAGCAACTAATTTATTCTCAATCCATTTGAAAATTCCCATGATAGAATAGCATGTACTCCTTAAAGCCACCAATTCATTTTTAATCCACTTGGAATTTTCGATGATAAGCTAGGTGACTAAGTTGCCTAGTCTGTTTAGAATTCAGTAAATGATTATTCTATGTCACTGACTTTCTCAGCTCAGCTAAACCTTAAGAATTGAGGTCAGCTATGTGCACCATTTTCTTCCATTCTGCTGTATGGAAAATTTTAGAGCTTCTAAATCAATTATTCTAGATGATCCACCAACTTAGCTTCATTTAGAGAGAATACATTTTCACCATGATAAATAATACAATACTCCTTTATCAATGCATTTTCATGTCTCAAAGCTTCAGCATTTTGCTACTATCATCCAATAAATTTGTACTCAGGTCAGTTTCGAACCTTAATTTAGTCTATAAAATTTGAAAATAGGAAAATATTGAGGAAAAATATTTAATTTTTCAGTGGAAGCTGCCAGTATTACAAAATATTTGTACAGGTTTTTGTTCAATTTTCAGATTCCATGGGATGAATATATGGAACACAGGCTCTTAATCTTTGCGCTTTTTGTTTAGGTTTTGAAGAATGGAGTGCGGTTGTCTTCAAGCCTTTCATATACAATGGGCTGTCCCACTTCAGGAAGGATTGTATTTGTTTACCCTGTACAAAGTCAATATCTATCTGGTCTTGTAAATGGAGATAATAATCTGTATGATAGAAAAGTTGATAGTCTCACAGTTCAAAATTGCTATGAATTGCACTTGGAGCTGGTTCCTATCAGTAAGAGAGTAAAACTGAGCAGTAATATGATGTCCACGATGAATTCCGCAGAAAAAACACATGGACAACCACAACCTGAAAGTGGGAAGATTTCATCCCCTAGGACACCATTGCATCAGGCAAAGCTGAGCTCTGCTAGTCCTACTCAATCAGCTTCATCAAGATGTGAAGAAACAATGCCTAATTTATTTGATTCAATTAATACTTGTGTTAATTCATTTGATATCAAAGAGGTCTTAAAGGATGAACATGCCAAACAACTACTGCAATCTTGTGTTGCTTCATTGTTGTTTTCTCGTATTCTATTATGTGGAAATCTTGTGGCTATCCCTATTCTCTCAGAGCTTTGCTTTTTCCTTGTCACAAGTGCCAATAAAACAAATCAAGATTTGCTTGAAGAACGAAATAGTATTTATACACTAACTCCTGAATCGGCAGAACACATGAAATATGCATTTTACATAAATCGTGAGACGAAAGTATATTTACATCTGCCAATGAATTCAGTAATTGAAACTCTCCCAAAGAGTGGAGTTCCATCTATGCAAATTGAGCATGAGCGTTCTGGAAACATCATCAGTGATATATCAAAATTAGGTGGTCTACATAAAGAGTATGCCGTTTTGAAGGAAATAATTATGTCATCTATGAAGAACTCTCTATTGAGGTATGTTCTTTAAGTTTTCTTTTCTTTGTTTTTCTCAAAAAAATGTTTAATTTGAATATCTTAGTAAGTTGTGCTTAGGGAACTTTCCTTGATGTCTACTTTCGTGATTGAATGGTGTAGATACTGACATGTTAGAACACCTGTTAAGGATAAAGAGTCTGGCCATTAAATTGTAGGAATGCTTGATGATTAAAATAGCTTAGAAATTACTAGGATATTTTAGGAATTATAATTTCTGTTAAGCATATTACTCTAGTACTGCTTTACTTGCTTTAAAACATCATAATGACTTTCTTTATAACTGAGAAATGTGCTTCAACATGATGACACCCATCAACCCTTTGAGAATTTGAATGAAGAGAAAGTAACCTAGAAGTTCCCCATCGGTTGAACAGTGTTCTAACCAACTACTTTACACTGTTAGGCTTCTTATTTAAATGTAAATATATTTGAACTTAGAATTTCATGATTGTGCTCTTACTTGTGCCAGTATTTTGGAAGCAAAATATATTACAGACATGCTAAAATTAAAAGCAAGTTTATTTATAGTATTGTAAATAAATTTAACTATTGAAAGATTTGTTATTGACATTCTGTAAATACTGATATCCCTCTCAGTCAGTTCAAATGTTTCCCCATATTTGTCATTTCTGTATATTGTAGATAGACATAAATAATACTCTAAAAGGAGACAAATATATTATAATATCTGAAATAAAATAAGTCTAAATTCTAAGTCTTTGAACTTGAATTTTCTTAATTTCACTGTTCACTCACTTGGTAAAAGTCCTAAGCATGGTAACACCTTGCATGAGATAGACGTTAACTAGGTACTATTCAATTTAATTTTCCTGCATGTGAGCTTTTAGTATTGCTTATATTGATGCAACTATTTAGTCTTGGTTTACGGCCTACAAAGGGAGTGCTTCTTCATGGCCCACCTGGCACAGGAAAGACTTCTTTGGCTCGACTATGTGCATTTGATGCTGGAGTCAACCTTTTCTCTGTGAATGGTCCTGAGATAATAAGTCAATATCATGGAGAAAGTGAGAGAGCAATTCATGAAGTTTTTGATTCGGCTAGTCGAGATGCACCTGCTGTGGTTAGATTTTTCTCTCTTGATTCTTAACTTTTTCTATCTTTTTCTAATTTAAAAGGAGTTTTTCCTTCTTCAAGCAAATTGAACCGTAGAATGTAACTGTTTTAAAAATAACTATGGAGTTGATGAACTACTTTAGTTTTAAACTGCAAATGTTACAGTAATTATAGTCTAAAGCTGCATCATGTGCATTACTGTCCTGGAACTATATATATGGAGTCAACAAGTTGCATCGACCATTACCTCTGGACAAGCCCTTCTTAATTGACCTTTTCCACTTTGTGGGGATCCAAAACTTCTGCAGATGGTTCATACTGATTTTTTTTTTTTTTTTTTTTTTTTTTTTTCCAGACTGGAGACACGGAATTAGTGTACAGGGAGACACGATTCCTATTGAATGGAGATAGGACAGATGGAATGAACTTCTGCAGATGGGTTCATACTGATTTTTTTTTTTTTTTTTTTTTTTTTTTTTTTTTTGTGTCTAGGTGTCTCATATTGAGTACTTTGTAAGTGGTTGGTTTTCTCCACTTTATCAAGTACCAAATTTGTTATCGATTTTATGCTAACAACATTACTAATTTGATTAACTTTGTATCTGAATCCAACTTTTTGAGAAGTTCTTTTCAATATTGTGTTCCAGTTACTTGTTCATGTATATTTTCACAAATGTAGTATGACCCCATATAGTTTGGAATTGGAAAATTTAGCTGCAGTGTATTATTTTTTTTCCTCCTCCTTTCTGAAAGGAGGACCTAATATCAAAAAGAATAGGATGAATGCAGCTAAAGTAGTCCTCTGAAAGAAACAAGAATTAAGAGAAATTTAACAGAGGTAGCTCTTCAATTATGTTCAATCTATTGAGAATTTTAACTTTATCCCATTGTATTCAGTCAAAACCTCTCCCTTAAAGAACCTCGGTTTCTCCACCTGGGTATGCTATTTCATAATGAGTGTAGAACTACAGACCTTTTGCCTCACTTTTGCAAATTAATTCTTTAAAATAATATTTCAAATTACTCGTGAAGCAAATGCACTTCTCTGATTTTTTCAAAGAAAAATTTGATTCCAAATAGACCAGGAATCAGAACAAAGAAAATGATGAGTGTAGTACTGATACTATAATAGGAGATAGCACCATATCAAGATATGATGATTAAAGTTTTATTTATCAAATTCAGCATGACTGATTCTGCAGACTTTATGGTTCCACGAATTCATGGCTGTAATTAGTAAGGTTGACTATTAAGTGGATCTGTAATTAGTAATTGCTGGCTTTCTTGTTTCTTGTTTAATTAGTAATTAGTAATTGCTGGCTTCAGGTATCATTGTCTAACAGATTTCTATTACAATCATAATCATTGAATTCTCTTCCTCCCCCAATGTACACTTCTCCCTGGTGTTCACAACCTACTAAGGATCTCTTTTTGTTTTTGCATAATAATACTTCACTAGCATATAGGATATCTAGTTAATGAGCAATGTGAGTCATGTCTTCCTTCTACTCTTCTGTGGAAGTGGCATATATGACAGGTAATTCAAAAATATATAAATATATACCATATCTAAATTAGAAATATATAAATATCCTTTTGAAACTTCAAAAGTATTTTAAAGAAGATATTTCATTGGCAATATTCAGTTTGAAAAACAAACCTACTTTGATTAAGTGGTTTAACAAGAATGAGTTCTGAAAAATGTTAGATTTTACACATGCTTTCCTTGTACCGCTTGATGTTAAAATTGCAGCTAAAACTAACTTTTACATTTTTAAATTTGAACTGTGCTATTGGAAACTATAATCTTACAAGCTTCTTGTTAATGAGGATCACCTAATTTAGGAAGGTTACACCTTTCAAAAATTCACCATTTACTCTGTTTTAAACAAGATGGTTAACTAATTGTCATCCTTGTGCAGGTTTTCATTGATGAATTGGATGCAATTGCTCCTGCACGAAAGGATGGAGGTGAAGAACTATCTCAAAGAATGGTGGCCACATTATTGAATTTGATGGATGGGAAGTAGGAGTGATGGAATACTTATTATCGCTGCTACAAACAGACCTGATAGCATTGAACCTGCATTGAGACGACCTGGAAGACTTGATAGAGAAATTGAGATAGGTGATTCCAACTGGTTCCCCTCCCACCTTTCACCTCTTGTGATTTTTAGTCCTTTTACCAATGCGACTCTTGTGGCGATATTTTTCCTTTTAGATTTCTGTAAAAGTTTATACTGCAAGGCTTTGCATCTGAGTATGTGTTATAATAGTACTGACTGTGTTCATAAGTCTTGACTTATCAGAATACTTGATTCCGACCTCCTACAATTTCTTCATTTAGTTATATGGATAACAGAAAATCTTTTGCAAGACCCGACCTGTCTAAATAGATAATTACACAATTTGATGCTATAAATGTATATTGTGGTTTTTTTATATGAATGTATTAGTGTGGAGATCTATGAATTGTTTTCATGTGCTTTCTTTTTGAGCATAGTTTGTCTCAGCCATGCCTATGATATCTGTTTCATTTTTTTCTCATACAGCTGTTCCATCTCCAAGACAACGACTCGATATACTGAATACTCTTCTCAATCAAATGGAGCATTCGCTTTCAGATATGCAGGTTCAAGACCTCGCTGTTGCTACACATGGCTTTGTGGGTGCTGACTTAACTGCCCTCTGCAATGAGGCTGCCTTGGTTTGTCTCAGACGTTATACCAAGTCCAGAAATTCTTATAACGATTTGCATTCCAAGGGATCGCCTATTGCATTTGAAGCTCATTCTGGCACTGTGATAAAAAGATCCGGTTGCCCTGGTGAGATGCAAGAAACCTATGCAGTTTCTGCAACTTCAGGTCTCATATCTACACCTGTATCTTTGAAGATTTTAGCATCTTGTTGCTCCAATGTGACTGTTTCTGAAATTTCAGATAGCATTGAGAATGGCACTAATTCTCAGGAGGCTTTTGTGGTGGAGGAAGAAAATATCTTAAAAGTTGCTTTTGAAGATTTTGAGAAGGCCAGGATGAAAGTGAGGCCCAGTGCCATGCGAGAGGTATTACTAATATTTCCATATTGTTTAAAGAAACTATATTATGGAGCCAGTTCCATTGTTATATACAACCCTACTAACTTGTTATGTGAGCATGAGAAACTGAATGATTGGAAGCACTAGATAATAGAGAGGCTGTTGGAAAATTAGTCCATGTTGCCAGTAAGCTTGAATATGAGAATATTTCGCAATACCCAACCTGTTTGTAACAGTTCTAGAAATTTGAGTGGAAGTTTCTTTCTTTTTGTTCTCCACAGCCTTCAGTGTCTTGCACATAATTGGTGTTAGAACCATTTTAGTTGTCTTTCTAAGGTGGAATTTCTATTAACAGGAACAAGGAAATAATACTGCAATTGGAAGAGTAACTAATCAATTCAATCATTATGTCCTTATTTGTTCTACTCGTAGGTAATACTTGAGGTTCCGAAAGTTAATTGGGAAGATGTAGGTGGCCAGAGGGAGGTAAAAGCTCAACTAATGGAAGCAGTGGAATGGCCTCAAAAGCACCAGGATGCATTCCAGCGCATTGGCACCCGTCCTCCAACAGGGGTTTTATTGTTTGGTCCTCCTGGTTGTAGCAAAACTCTTATGGCACGTGCAGTAGCTTCTGAAGCTGGACTGAATTTTTTTGCAGTGAAGGGTCCAGAGCTTTTTAGCAAATGGGTTGGTGAATCAGAGAAGGCTGTAAGATCCCTATTTGCAAAGGCCAGGGCCAATGCTCCATCAATCATATTTTTTGATGAAATTGATGGCCTTGCTGTTATTCGTGGGAAGGAAAAGGATGGGGTTTCAGTTTCTGATAGGGTGATGACTCAACTTCTTGTCGAATTGGATGGTTAGTGATATGATTATTGCATCAAATTCCCTGTTAGGAGTTTCTTTTTGAAGGATTTTGTTTTGATTCATTACAAGCTCACAAAACTTGGGAAACAATATTTGAAATCCTGGATATCCTTATGTTTTGGGATACATCATGTCCCTATTTTATTCTTTTACCTGAGTAAATCTTCTGTTGGATTTAGGTTTACATCAAAGAGTTAATGTCACTGTTATTGCTGCTACAAATCGCCCTGACAAGATTGATCCTGCACTTCTGAGACCAGGTTTTCTCTCTCCCTCTCTCCCTTACACGCTAGAGGCATGCATATTTCAAAGTAGTCTTATACTATCTTGTAATGTTTTTCTTCTGAAATTTGGAGGCTCTCTAATTAATAAAAGATCTAAACAGGACGCTTTGATAGGCTGCTATATGTGGGGCCTCCAAATCAGATTGATAGGAAAGAAATATTTCAGATCCATTTGCGTAAAATTCCATGTAGTTCTGATGTCAGCATAACAGAGCTAGCTCATCTTACTGAGCGCTGTACTGGAGCTGATATATCGCTAATCTGCAGGGAAGCAGCTGTAGCAGCCATTGAGGTTTTCCAAGTTCTCAAGTTCCTTCCATGTCCTAGTAATGTTGTTTATTTTTCTTGTTCATTAGTTTGAATTTCTACATTTGATAGGAGTCCATTGACGCTTCTGAAGTAACAATGCAACATTTAAAGCAGCTGTAGCAGCCATTGAGGTTTTCCAAGTTCTCAAGTTCCTTCCATGTCCTAGTAATGTTGTTTATTTTTCTTGTTCATTAGTTTGAATTTCTACATTTGATAGGAGTCCATTGACGCTTCTGAAGTAACAATGCAACATTTAAAGACAGAAATTAACCGGTCCAGCCATCAGAGATTGAATCTTATCAAGAACCAACTAAATTTCAAAGGCTGGTTCACTCTAATCATATACGTGATGAATTTGAATACCAGAATTGCTCAACTCAATCAAATCAATTCTCCATCTGGTAAATGCTCTTTTTACTTCTCAAATGCATATCTCCAAATTGTCTAAACAGCATTCTATTCTTTCAAGTTTGAAACTGAAAAGGAACAAACCACATGATTTTTAATGCATTTTGTAAAATTACCATCCTTTTCATCCCACCCCCCTTTCAATGGCACTGGCCAAAGTGGTCCATCAACATTATTAAAGTCTGTTATCTCCATCTTGAGAAGGTTTTTTATTCTTTTTAACCCTTATCATTAAATTTTCACTGCTGGGCACTTTACATATCTTCTGTGAAATCAACAGATTGAATTTTTTTTTGTCTACTGTACTTGTGTTTTTGCTCGAGTCCATTGTGCTTTCACTTTTATTCTTTTGTTTTGTTATTTTTTCATCTCTGTTGTCTTGCAGGCCCCTGATAAAATCCCCCATACAGTCCTTATATCATTTCCTGATTCCAGGCTCAAAATCTGCTTCATTTCATTGGTCATAGTGCACAGCATATCCCTCTCGCAAGCAGCAATAGACATCTAAATCCCAATAGAGTGGAAAGTTATACCAATTGCCACTCTGAGCATGATCTTTTGGTGGGGGAGCTCCAGCATTCTGTTATCCTATCGTACTGGTAATACCATCAAATACTTCATGGACATATAAAATGTAACTGCAGTATGAGATAGGAACCAACCAAAGTTTTTCTATGTTTCTAGGGTCCCCTCCAATCTAGTTCTATTAAATGCCTGTTATCCCCAATCCCCAGCCAATTCAAGCTTTTCCTGCACATCTTTTTTATGGAAACCCGAAGTTCAAATCCCAGACTAGTGGAGTCCTGCAAGATTGTCAATCCGTATGTAAAGTTTCAGTGAGAATAGAAGAATTGGGAGAAGTAGATTAATCAGAGGTGCAACCAATGTACAAACATTTTTGCTTTTGCGATTTTATTTTTTCCTTCAATGGTTCTAATTTATAATATTGATTTTGTGCTGCATTCTTCCAAGTGATAATGGCTTTAGATTACTACATTTTTATTTTGATCTGCTAAATTTTCATAATAGAATGGAATTCTGTTGGAGTATCTTCAACCTACCTGCTTTTCCAGTTTTATTTATGTTATTTATGTATCCGGTCAGCAAAAAACATGCAAGGGTTCATTTTTTTTTTTTCCAAAAGAAATTATTGGGGATTTGCAAGTGCATTTAAGGTTCTATTTGAATTTGAAATAAAGGTGAATTTGGATTTGAGGGACAATGTCAATATAATGTCAAATTTGAAGTACTCAACCATTTAAAAAGATAATCTCCAAATGGAGATAATGAAATGCATTTTTTTAGAATGTTTAAACGAAAGAAATTTTCCTCATATTTTTGTGGATTTTCTAATTTTTGTTTAGCTCCGCCGTCAATGGTGGCTAGTCAATCTTAAGGGGCCATTTGGTCGGATTTCAAATTTCAGTGGTTGGTCATGGTCAGCTTTGTAACACCCGCCGCCCGATCCCGAAAGACTCGATGGTGGATGCCACATTCGGTGCCGGAGCGAGGCACCGTATCCTACATGTCCTACATCTAGTAAATAAACAATCTCTTTTGAATTAGAAGTGACTCTTAGTATGTCACAAGTTTAGCAAGTAATAGTATTTCCTGATTGTGAAATGATTTGGAGAATCCCTACAAAAGACTGCAGGAGTGTCTTCCGCTAAAAATAGAAGATTGTATCAAACGATTACTGCATCAAAGTACTCCCAAATTCAAACTCCAATCCATCAAACTCCAATAACGAACACAATAGCAGCTTCCATAATTTCATAACTCCATAGTTCTCAATAACTTGCATATTTCATCACTTCATACCATCAATTCAATACATTCATTTAAACACATCAACTTCTAATGTTCTAACCATTAAATAAGTCCAAGTTTATCTCCCAATATATATACACCAAAATAGTTTACAATAACATGCTTAAGTTATAAATGAAATAATACAGTCTCCAAAAATATAATACTTATACATGCCATAATTCTTAGTTACAAAAAAAAAATAATACTAAGTAACTACCAAAATATCTCTTCAGCTCTGATGCTACTCTTCAGGTCTTTAAGAGCAAGCACAATCTCCAACCTGCGCGTGATAAAATCAACGCGCTGAGTATAAAACTCAGTGGTGCTCATAAAACACAACAAACCAATGTTGTGATTACTTAAAGACAAGATCATTTATATACCATAAATCATTAAATTTGACATGCAGTACATATGCACATCCAGACACATCGATGCTTTTAGAATTATTTGAAACTTATAAATGAAGTTGTTGGTAAATTTAGAGTTATTAGACATAATGTTGATTCATTTACTTTTCAATTCCTTAAAATTATCCTGTTCCTTCCTTATAAGGGCTCACATACTCTTGGAGAAAGAAGGAAGCACAGATAAGTGTTTTATAGCTTATCATAATGTGGCCCTTAGGTCGCACCTTTTCATAAATATTATAGAGCTGCGTACTGCCTTAACATAAGACACCACGTGCCTAGCATATGATTCATAACTTCTTATCAGTAATGGCATCAAAATGCGAGCGATGCTCAGTCCATACATAATAACATCAAATCATTGTATCAAATCAACCAAGTATATTAGAGCCCTAAAAACATTTCTTGCATACACAATTCATTTTTCTTTAGTCTTCTCAGTAATTAAAAACTTAAATTTTAAACTTAAGTAATTCATAAAAAATTCTCTCATACTTAAACAAAATGGACTTACATAGGAAAATTTCCAGCATAAAATTAACCTGGACCCTTGTGCTGTGTTTTAAAAATAAACCGGAGCTATGGGGTCTCAAAATTCAATGAAATTAGAGTCGTTTAGAAAGCTAAGACAATCTACAATGTTATGAAGGGATCACAGCCCAGATCAGATATGGAAGATACAAAAACAAAGCTAGGACACAGACTGAATTAGACCAGGGACCTGATTCAGCAGAACCGAAGTCCATTGTTCTTGAGATTCTACTAAACCCTCACTCAAAATTAAAACCATTCCAGATAGCGAGAGAATTCTCAAACCACAGGGCAACAACATTTTATGGAAGAACTCAGTAACCTAATCTTGTTTCATTATAGTGGTAAAATGGCGCACTTAATTCAAGTTTTGGGTGTTTCAGTATTAATGTTGGGTTGATTTGGGGGGGTAGTTATAGCCCGGGGGGGGGTCCCCGGTTATATATTTCCAATTGGACACAACGAGGATGGTTTGGGAAAGACTGAAGTAGATAGACTTACAAGCTTTTATGTTAAGGGACTGACACAAATGGGAAAACTAGGAAAAGACCGAAAATGTCCGTAAATCTCACTCAAAATATCTCGCTATATCCATATTCAGTTTACTTTAGCATGAAAGGAGGCATGAACCACAAAGATACAAGGTAGGAAATGTTTACCACACATAAATACTCATCAAACCTCATCAAGAGCATGTATGGCAACCAAATTCAACAAACCAATTCATTTTCTATACAAAATCTCAAAAATATACGCATAATAGCATAAAGGCACAAATCAAAATCTTGGAGTTAAGGTAAGTGTGGTTTATGACCACTAACCTTCAATACAAGCTTTAACAAGCTTTATCAAAGCTTCTCAGCTTTGGTCTTGCTCTTTATCACTTATTAAAGGCTCTCCCCCTCTACTGGAAGAAACTCAAATCAATAAAGCAAAACAAAAGAAAAAGATAGTATTGGAGCATGATTAAGCATGTATATGCTAAAAGACAACTCTAAATCCAAAAATAATTCACTTATCACAAAATCACTTACTTGACCCAAGTAGGAAATCACAAACTTCCTTGACTTTGTGTCACAAGAGATTCATTCTCTAGCTGTCACTCTCTAGATTTATGCTTAAAATCAGTATGATGGGTGTTTAATAAGTAGGTAATGAAGAATAAATGAAGGAAGAAGAAGGAGAAGAAGAAGAAGGAGAAGAAGGAAACGTGTATGGAGAAGAAGAAAGGCCAAAAGTTGGTGACTCAATATGTAGTTGCTTTATTTTAAAATGCAACTAATGGGTATATCTTGAGTTTTTCTCAAATTGGAGGGTATTTGGTTCTTCTTCTCCCAAAATATGCTCATTAAACATTTCCATTCAAAAATATTAGTGTGGGGGATCACGCACAAAGAAGGCTCTAATTTATTCCATAAAATAATTCCTCAATTTTTCCTCCATATAAGAATAGAAATATTGCTCAAATTTCATATATATATATAATTCCACTATCACTAAGTATCTAATTCGTTCCAAAACATATTCTATACCTTACTTTATACCCATAAAACCATGCATTACATGCTCCAGTCAAATGTTAATAAAATACTAAACTAGAAATAGTAATTTTTCGGAGCAAAATAGCACAACTACATAAATAGTAATTTTTCGGACAAAAAATAATACCAACTTTCGGACCGGTGGTACTATTCACAGACCGGTAAACTACTATTAAAACACGGGAAAAAAAAAATGGGGCGTTACAAGCTTGGTTGGGCAAAAGGATAGTTTCGATTGAAAATCTTTTTATTTATTTATTTTACAGTTGGGGATTTACACTGTAATAGAATATGTAGAATTGGCTCTTTCAGTTTGGACCTAATAATATTCTATCTCTATTTTATATTCATATTGATATATGTTGTAATGATCCATGAAAGTTGTGATTGGGTCTTCAAACCTTAAAAAAGTCGGTGTAATTAGGTTTTCGAGAAAGAGAAAAAGACGGGTAAAAAAAGATCTGCTCTCTTAAATTATTGAATTTAAAACTGGAATTTCAAGAAACATAATTATAATTTAACAATAAAGATATTCAGCTCATGTTAAGCTGGCACGATAAGAATCAACAAGAATTTTGACTTGTTGAATTATAGCAATATCCCTTTTTAAATTTGGGCAGACATGGTGTATTATAGAAAGGAAAAAAACAATAATTTTTTTATGTTAGATAACGTGAATGAAAATTTTCACTTATTACGCATAGAAAGAGTGTAGCATGCATGCTACACACGTGGCACGAGGAAATGGTGCACTATAGGAGGGAAAAGGTGCATTATAGGAGAAAAAAAATAATGATTTCTTATGTTAGATAACGTGAATGTAGATTTACACTTGTTGCACGTAAAAAGAGTGTAGCATGCATGTTATACATGTGGCAAGAGAAGCGTGCTTGTGAAGATATAACTTTTAATTATTGCGAAAATTTTTTTTTTAAGGATAGATAATAGGGTAGTGACAGATGGCTCGATTCTTGCTAATAAATGGGCAATATTTAAAATTTATGGTGGGCCATCTTAGAAACTGTCTACTTAAGGTAATAAGTGTTGAAAGAGGAGTATATTTGGAATTAGCTATTTAAATGAAGGGTAGCAAATTGCTTTTTCTTATGCACCGCCACTCTTTATCCAAGCTAGGACACATTTAAATGGCTTCCTTCGTAGATCCAAAAATAAATTTAACAAAGAAAATAAAAAGTTAATTAAATAGCTAATTTTAAAGATCAAGTTGCATCAGCATCCTCTCCACTGCCGCTGCTACTGCATCCTCTTCTTCATCACTTTAATTTCTTAATTTTTCCATATGGATTTTGCTATACAAGTATTTGGTTTGACTTTGGTTTTGGAATTTGTATATAAATTTGTGATGATTTGCATTCTTGCCCAAGAAAACAAACTTTGTTATCATCTTTATAATTTTATAATTTCATAGTAAATTATTAATTTTGTTTCAATTGATACGATGTTAAGGCATGGCTAATTTTTTTTTTGCAAGGAGGGAGAGAAATGGTGGTGGAGGTGGTGGTTGTTATGGATTTTTTTATTATTTTTTATAGAAGGAAGAAGAAATATGATTGTGGTGATGGCGGTGGTGGTTGATAGAGAGAGAAAAAGCATCTGAGTTTGGGTTTTTCTTGCATAGAGAAAGGAAGAAAGATGATGGACTTCGTGGTGGTTGATAGAAAGAAGATGTCTGAATTTGAGT